CACTCTGATGACATGTACGAAATATGGGTGAAATCGGTTCACAACCACGCCTTCTTCCAATATAACGCTATTTTGAATTCCATCTGATGCCTTCTCTGTATAATATATACATTAGGAACCAATGATGATAGCGGAATAAAACTTTACACAAATACGGTATTTGAGCTGAGGTATCCCTTGTGAAAAAATTGTCGTGATCGGGCTTTAATTTTTCAATACATTTAAAATAAATGAAAATACTCAAAGTACACAAATTGATCTAATCTAATTAATTTTACAGCAAAAAAAAAAATATGTAAATGACGGATAATGAAATCTCGATTATCACTTTATCATGCGAGAGTATAAAATGTTCGGTGACAGCCGAACTTAGCTCTTCCTTACTTGTTGTTTAATATATTCTGACATAAAAAGCAGTATGCTACAAATACTACCTATACATAGGTAGTAAACCTATGGCTGGCTCAAAATCGATTTTAGACCCATAAGCCAAGTTGTTCAGAATAATCCGTATAACTTTTTTCATATATTATATGTCCGTATGCGACTTTATAGGAAAAAAATTGTCACTCTCTATTATATACATACACATATGTATATGCACGTACATTCATTCATATGAATTCTGTATGAATTCATTTGATGACTGCGCAATGAACTTTAACACTTGACATTTGTTGTTTTTTCTCTTTTTTTATGTGACGTTTGCAATAATCGAATGCATTCACTTCAAATCCATATGCATTCTTCTGCGAACTCTCACAATTATGCGCATACCTAAATATGTACATACATATGTACATATGTAATTTTTTATTTTGTATTTAGATTTTACTCTAATTTGTGATTGCGACCACCAAAAAGTTGCAAATTCTGCTTGCTATTTTCTTTCTCTGAACACACAACTCCATCAAATTTTTAGCTAAATGAACTCCAATTAACTAGAAAACGCAACGTAATGGAAAAGTGCACATTGAAGTGGCTGACAGCATTCAATCAAATATGCTACAGTTTTTGACGACCGACGACTCATTCATAGTCATACATACTTATATTGGAATTTATGTAGATATATACGAAAATACTTAGCTTATAATCCCCTAAATAATATAAAGGCAATTTTTATTATGTAGACACTTCTTTGCCTTAATAAGAAGTGAAATTGTGTTGAATGGGATGCATTTCGGAATGTCAAAGTAATTACTCGCACGTAACCACAATTATATTAGTATTATTTATCAAGATATACATATGTGAGTATGTGTGAACGTGCGAACGTGCGAAATTAACATAGGATTTATCTAATTGCCAAATTATGTATACTTAATATTTAGTGTGATAAAACACGTGCACCTAGACGTATTTACATATATGACAATACTAATATATTTATGTATCTAGATGTGACTTATGTGTTATATAAGTTGCTATATTAAACATCACAAATCATAAAATTTTACATGTATTTAGAAACTCACTTGCCATTACTTTGGAATCTATCTCTTGCTGTCACAAAATATATTTACACATATGATTTTAATGATTAACGTTATTTTCTTCCAATACACGTAATTTAAATTTTTTAAATTGGAATATAGGAAACGAAAATATAAATATTTCACTAGTACACTGCTTTTCAAACTTTCAATTGCAAGAAAAAACATGTTGAACGAAACCGACGCTTGATTGTAAGCCATGGGAAAGCTGTAGACTTGCGCTTCTAATAATTTACTATGCCGGAATAAGATTTTCGATACAAACTTACACTGTTATATGCAGCAACTGATATGCAACGCATTACAACTTCAATATAAACTTTAACAATATTAAACCCTTAACAAACGACCACAACACCGGACGCGCCGTAAAACCAAAGCATCGCCGGAAGCGATATTATAATAGCATAGTGTAGCGTTTACGTTGCTGATTGCAAATCATTTAGCATTAAACAAACACAATTTAAACACAGAAAGTCACATTACAACGTTTTCTTTAATTAATTGTACCACAAAACGATAAAAATGCTAAATTAACGCACAATATACGCGCCACCAAAAAGTAACTGTAAATTAAACAAAGAAGAGGAAGCAACACAGTATCACGCATATATGCATTTCACATTTCTTTTAAACTAAAGAGTTGTTTTCTAATTTACATATATAAGTAAAATCTTTGCGTTAAGCAAATTTTTGAACTTTGCAAAGACGCAAGTTATGTTCAAAGCTTTTTTTAAATCGTAATGAGAGTCGATATTTGAATAAATGTATTGTTTTTTAAAGCACATTTCCACTTTTGCAACCCTGCATTGATTCTGCTCTTTACTAATGATTTGGCAGCACTATGCGGCAATAAATGTAATAGATTAGGACACGTAAGTTTTTTGTCAAAGTTGACAAGTTCTAGAAAACAAATTCATACATCTGTTCGCTCTAACAATAAATTACTAATCAAAAACATTATTGCATTTAGTTTTTTGAAAATTTTTTAAATAAAACCAATTGTAAAAATGACCGACCCGGGTCAATGGTATAGTCAATTACCGCGTTTTACACGCTACTGGCTAACCTGTACGGTTGTGCTCAGTTTGCTAACCCGCTTCAACATATTACCAATGAATTTGGTATATTTACGACGTGATGCAGTATTAGGAGATTTTCAGTTATGGCGTTGTGTTACAGCCCTATTTGTATACCCATTAACGCCATCGACTGGATTCCATTTCCTCATCAATTGCTACTTCATCTCACGTTATATAGCACAATTGGAGAAAGAGCAATTCGGACGAAGTCCAGCTGATTATTTGTACATGCTGCTAATAGTAGCTTTTCTGTCAAATGTTGGTGGTATGCTATTCAGTGTAAGTAATTCTTGATATGATGTTTTTAAAAATCGAACTAAATTATAATCATTTGTTTTGTAGGTGTTTTTCCTTATGGACTTGCTGGTTGTTTCAACTACTTACATTTGGTGTCAACTAAATAAAGATGTCATCGTAAATTTTTGGTTTGGCACACGCTTTAAAGCTGTCTATTTACCGTGGGTGTTGGCAGTTATGGAACTGGTGTTCCAAGGGTAAGCGAAACACGGCATTAATGCTAAAATTAAATGTTGAATACATTTTATATATTTTTTTAGATCAATTACATCTCTTATTGGTATACTTATCGGACACTTTTATTACTTTTTCAAATTCCAATATCCACAAGAACTTGGTGGTAATGCATTTTTGGAGACACCAAACCTGCTGTAAGTTCTATATATTGCACAAATGCAAGATGCACACACACTTCAAAATATAATTATAATTATTTTTCAACAGAAAACAATATGTACCAGATATAAGTGGTGGATTCAGCGGCTTTGGTGAACCACCAGCGAGTCGTGCGCCTCAACGTCCAGCTGCAGGAAATCCCGTCTTCGGTAACACTTGGGGTCGTGGCAATCAGTTAGGCCGTTAGCTGGAAAGAGGTAATGAAGTGGGATAATGATACTTATAAAACAACTTTATTAAATGGAGAAATGTTTTTACGAGAAAAGTTGTTACGTATTTAACATGTGTGCTCCCATTCAGTTTACTTTAAAAGTGTCTGCACTACAACCATTTTCGGTGTCTCATTTCTCCTGATATTATGATGATATGTGACTTTAAGTAAACACTCTTACTTCAGCAACCTTATTTATACATTTAGGATAGATTTTGGTATGTAATGAAAATTCACGCAATTGTGATGGTATAGCTTTGTAAATACTATATAATAAAAGAACCAATCTATATAAATAACAATTTATTAAATTTGAAATAAGAACAAATGTTGGTATCAAAATATGTAGTCAATGCATATACGATCTGGTAATTTAGCATACATATTTATTTAATATCGCAAAGCAACGCAACACCACGTAATATCCAGTGATCAGGCGGTTTCTGTGACTGCAGCCAAAGTGGGGTGATGTAGTTGAGGTCGGTGCGATTAATTTTCTTATACACCGGGCACTGGAGGCATATATAATATTTCCAAGTTATTGCATTCATTTATGTATTGTATGATTCATTTAAATTTTTTCTTACTATGCCAACTTACCGTATATAATTTTGGATTTTTCGGCGCCACAGAATTTATAGCATATATGTGTACAACCGGCAAGAGTACGTACAGCACTTTGTTTGTCGCTTCAATTAATCTAGAGAGCTTACGATCCCAACCAGCGCCGTCAACAAACAAGCCCTCGACGAAGACACCTTCCTTAGGTGGCTTTTTACACTCTTCAATGCCGACCTTTAGCACATCATTATGCATGGTAACCTGATCTAAGGCCCAACCTTGATGTGCCCGTGCTACTTCTTGTTTCATAGCTGTTAGAAAACCTTGCGGGTTGAAGAAGCCAGACATCCAGAATACAACGGGGCGACCCTGTGTTTTTTGTGGTAACAAATTCCAGATTTGTTATTTGACATACATTTTTAACTATTCATACTACAACTGCGTGCACTTACGCTGAAACACCAAGTGTGAAATTGTTGATTGCGTTCCAATAGCTCAGTAAACCAGAAACCTAAACTAGACGACAACCAACTACCACGTTTCCACATTTCTGGCACACGCGCATTGAAAATATTATCCAAAGCATCGCGTAGTTGTTCACTCATGATAATGGTACCTTCGATGGCAAGTAGCAAGTCCTTCAGTGTAGTTCGCACCAGTATAATAATCTGTGGAGAAGCAAAATGTTTATAGGCTTCTTGGTGGCAAATTTAATGCAGTACACCTCCTTACCTTTTGCATACGATCAATTTCTTGTCGTAAAAATATGTTCATTGAGCTCGTATGCCCCATTAGGCGTAGACGTTCTCGCACCTCATACAAATCATACGGTTGGGGCATTTTACTCTGCATTTCACGTGTCGAACGCGCAACACGGTCTTCTCGAGTTTCACCCGTACCACTGGAAGATTCTAAAATGAGGTTTTGAGGTTATGATTTTCAGAACTTAACATAAAAAACTGTAATATAAATAATGTAAGCTAGCATTTGTAATAAAGAAAAAACTGTAACTATTGAGATTATAAATAATTTAATCTATGTATTTCTAGATCGGCAAATCGTTTATACAGTTTTAAAATACGAATTTATATATGCATCGATAACTTTATTAATAATAACAAGCAAAAGACAAAGAAATGTTTTTGGAAACATACAAGGTAATCGGCAGCCCGGCTTTAAACTAGAACGCAGTCTGGATGCAGTGAAACCCAGATGAAGAGCTTCAGACGTGTCAGAACAGTGCTCTCCGGACTATCTCATATCGAAAACTTACACAGCGAGGCCCGTATGTTTCCAGTTTTCGCAAAAACTGGATGCGGAATCCCCACATGACTCTAACCTCCTTTTTGCCAACCTGACTCATATAATTATGCACACCCTACTCTTCCTATGGTCCGACCCCGTCGAAACAGCTCGTTTCCCGGGCCTACCGTTAGATAAATTGGATGAAAGCCAACCGGAACCTTACCACCCAGCGGAGATTAGATTATCATTATAACAAAAACAAAGACTGAAAAGTTTGGCTCTTATCACAGCTCTAATTTAATTTAAAACGGTTTGACTGACTCACCCTTCGGCTGTATTGAAACGACAGTGTCCAAAATACTCCTCATCGTATTTGTCTGATAGGTAATCTCAGCATTGGAATGAAAACCGTAAACTTGTGGTGGATCCAATAGAGGCATATCCTCAATCGCTTCTAAATATGATTCTTGTTCCTTGAAACTGAATATCTTGTAACCCTTGAAGAATTCAAATGTCGGTGCGAAGAGATTGTCATGAAACCATACGCGCGCAAAAGTATTCAGCAAGCGTTTATCATAATCGTCTGTAACACGACCGCCATACTGCACCTCGCCTAACATATAACGTACTGTGGTCCAACTTATGCCCTTACCGGGTTCCAAATCATCCAAGTGATTTTGTACAAATAGACAGCTGGCGTACCAATCGGCGAAATTGAATTCATACGGTATATTCCAACCTAATGGACCGAATTTGCGACGTTCTTGTACAACTGTATGCAGAAAGGAGATCGCAAAGACCAGTGGATGATAGAAGGGCGATTGCGAATAGTCGAGAAAATCTTGTGACATATTGCCGTAGGTACGTTTGAGGCCAGCACGTATGCCTGCCGGTGGTTCATTAGTAAATTTAATGGACATCTGCAGCAGTGTAATTGAGAACTTGTCATGTGGTTCTGTGGTGATCCAAACGCGAAAACTCTCATTAAATGAGCCTGGTTCGGCCTTTTCCAATTCCAACAACTGTAGGCACAGTTCATTCATATACTCCAAACCCAAGTGACAATTCTGTAGTAGCACCCAGCCACCATCTTGTAAACAATTTGCTACGAGTTTACGTGCGTGTATCTCCTGACCTTGACCCATCGATATAGGGTAACATTTGAGCTCGTTTTTCTTAGCTAAAGATTCGATATTGGACGATGGATCGGAACCCATTGAGAGAAAGCAAACCAGAGGAGTCAATGGTTTACTCTCCGACAGCAATTCATCAAAGTTCAAGACTACAGGTTCTGCGAAACGCTCACCTAAAGAGTAGGCGATATATTTACGACTCTGCGCAATAGAACGATCAACACACCAGGAGCGTATTAATAGTAGTTTGTGGAATGGCTGCAATGAGTTATAACCATCAGGTATAGTCTCGTTTTCTGGACATTCTTTCTTGTACCAATTAAACCAACCGCGTTCATTATTCGAAACTTTGGTTAGGACGTGCGCGAAGAGTGTCATCTTTGACAGTTGCACTAAATTTAACCACGTCTCATCGGTAATCCAACGAAACGGCACCGGTGGGCAATCATTCAAATTCAAGGCTGCGCCACCTTTTATGAAGTTCTGAAATTCATCATAGCTCACATGATCTAATTGCTGATCAATATTTAGCGCCATCAAAAGCACAAACAAGAATTTATGCTGTTCGTAGAGGCCACGTGACTTGTAGCGATAGATTTCGAATGTCAAATACGAGATAATGCGTTTTATGCGCTTAGCGGTGATGTGTGTCTTAGCCGAAAGATGCATGGAGGCATCGAAACGCTCCAGAAATTGCACTAACGATGTCTGATACATATTATTCACCATTGCCATGCTGCAAACCAAGAAATATAAAACACTGCCACGGGTTGCCACCGGTCGGTATTCTTCACGCGCCAAATTAATTTTCGACTCAGTTATTTTTGCGATTTCGATTTTCTCCTTCACTTCTATAGCCGTATTTTTACTGGTGTTCAACACTTCGATCACCGTTACATCATCCAACAAGCTACCTTTTGTGGTGGACAGCTTATGTAGTAAATTGGCTTCCAACTCCTTCATCTTCTTCATATTGTTTGTTACCGTTTCGACCAACTCTTGACGCTCCTCCTCTAGCTCTTTACGTTCAGTCAAGATGACACGTCCCAACAGCTGGTCCTCAAGACCTTTCATTGTTACCGTAAAGTCTATAATTGAGGTACGCGCCGATACTTCGGGTGTGTACGAGGGATTCGGTAGTTTTGTGGTTATATAACAACGGAAGGCCACATTGTAATCCACCTCTTTGTCGCCCACTTTGATTTTATATGTTGTGCCCACCTTCAATAGATTACGATCCAAGACATTGTCCAAACTGGGATCCAGTTCCTCACCCACATCCTCGATAATCATTGGTAGACCCAAACTGATAGAATCCTCGACATGATTACGGAAGTACTTATGTGTTAGTGTGGTCACAATGAGATTGTTATGTTTCTCCTTATTCTTAATCCAAGCTTTACCCTGCGACTGTGGATCGATCAGCAGTGGAAATCGGACAGCCTTCGTAGCGATAATGCCATTCTGCACTGACAGTTCATCTGAGGGCAAGCCTTGTAAATTCCATTCACCGATTTGTGTACGATCCGTCAGACTTTCGATAATATTCAAGTTGGCCGACAATGGTATTAAGCGTTCGCGTACTTCTTTCAACCATTGATACTGCAAATCAAGACGATATTCTTGGTTGAAAGGACCCGTGTATGAAAGGAATGCAGTCAATATTATAGTGTCGCCCACAAGACGATCAGTTTCGTTTTTGAATTGTGAAATCTGTTCGGTCCAACGTATTTTTTCGCCAGCCAAACCGCTAATAAGCGCTGTTGCCGCATCCATTTTGTCTTGCACTTTCTTGGCCTCAGCCAACACTGCATCTTTCTTGGCAATGGCTTCATTGAAACGTTGTTGCACCTCGGCTAGTTCACGCTCTTTAGCCGCGAACAATTCTTCCGCCTCTTGTAAATCGGCAGCGGCCTTTTGGTATTTGGCTGTTTGTATAGCTAAATTCGCCTTTAAAGGCAATACTTCCTTATTGACCTCAAAGTACTTGGCCATAGCTATGGTCCAAGACAGCAGACCGGCCACATTACCGCATGCTACTTTAGCGGCTTCAAATGTATACAAACTATAAGCGAAAAGATTGTAAAAAAATGTATTCTAAAAAGTAATAGTCAAGCATACATACTTGTAATTAAAATAGGGCACAAGCAAGTCCACCATTTCAGCATTGATTATGTCGGTGGGATAATCGACAATCTTCTTCAGAAAGCTCGTGTCGGACATAACTTTCAACGACTCCTCCCAAGAGCTTTGCAAGAAGTTCTTTTCCAAATCTGCTTTAATAGGCTTTACTTTCTTACGGAATAATATACACACTGCATCCATTATGAGCGTAATCAAATACGGTGGTTTGCCAAGTTTTCGTACGGTCGCAATATCGGCAGCTTTAATCGTCTACATACAGCGGAGACATTTTCAGCGTTTGAGGAAAGAATGTATTAAAGCAGCTACTTACCCGCAACGCTGCTTCAGCTTCCTCCAAAGCCGGTCGTGCCTTTTCCAATTTGGCTTCAGCCACCTCCTTATCGGCCGAAATGACCTTCACTAATTCGCCAGCTTGCGCTTTCTTCTCGGCCACCTGTACTTTAACAATTTCTGCCGCGGCCGTGGATTGTGCCACAGTCTCGAGCACTTCTTCTGCCTCCTCCGTCGCTATTGCAATAACTTTATTCATCTCAATCAATTCTTTTTTCAGCACGGATACAGCGGCACCCGCTTCGTCCAACTTATCTAAACCGGAACTCATACGATCGGACATTGTTATTATATTCACTTGCTTATCCTTATACAGTGTTTTGTAGCTCTGTAAAAATGATATGAGTGACTTGGGTGTCACGAATGTAGTGCGACGGAAACGTTCAAAGTACGATACACAAGCTTCGGATACCGTCTCATGTATCCAACTCATGAGGTCAATTACACTCTCTTTAATCTCGGGTGCGCACACAATAGCGAAGTCCTTCAAATAATGGCGCGATACCGCAACGCGTGCATCTTCGGGCCATTTTTGGAACCAATCAATGACACAACCGGAAATGAGACCAGGGAATTTCAACGAACGTGCACGGAACTTCTCGCCAATCTATAAATAATTTTTAATATTATTACTGCAATGAATGTACAACACTTAACCATTCACTTACGGGTGAGAAACATAACGCGATATGTAGATTGTAGCGTGCGCGTGATAGGAAGAAATCATAGAGATTATCCTGTGTGGGTATGCGTTTCGGCGCTATCTTCTTCATAATTGGTATGATCTCACTGTAGATCTCATCTGTTATACAAAGAAGGAATATTATGTGTGAAGAGCTAAGATGCGCGAATTATATAACAACGCACCCATTTCGTCCTTTGCGAAAAGATTTGCAATTTCACCGGAACTCAATATGTTGTTGATAAACTCGAGAAATCCATCATCCTTTATTTCATTATCGGTAAATATGAAGGTAATGCCACGTCCCTCTAAACCAGCTGTGCGATATAAATATTTCAAGTCTTCAACCAGATTACCGGCATTGTAGGCGCGTGTCAAGACGATTTGGAAGAACTTATAGTTTGCGATGAAAGATGATAAGCGCGTCAAGCTTTGTTTGCCCGAACCGCCGACACCGACAAGCAGAGCATTTCCCCTGTTCAGGTGGAAATATTAATGAACAAGTAATCAGCTTATGAAACAGCATTGAAACTTACCTCGGCATGCTAAGTATTCTCGATACAATCATTAGATGGACCAAAGCATCGCGAAAGAAGACCAAGTCCATGGTGAAGCCTCGAATGTATTCATTGAATTGACTCATGTAGAAATGCACTTTCTCTTTTACAAAATCAAAGCTGGAGAAAGAAATGCAGAATTGGACTTAGTTGAACTTTTGCATGGACTTAGTCAAATGTGGTAGAAATCGTGGAGAATGACGTGGATATATCAAAAGACAGTTTCAAGAATTCCAAAGCTAAACGAATAGAAGGCAGACAACTGAAGACCAAATTAGTGCGGCAATTTCTGATTATTCTTAATAAGAAGTGTCAGTTTTTGGCTTCTGTTATTTTTTTCCTACTGCTTACTTGTAGTATTAGAAAGAATGTGAACCCATAGCATACCTCGGTATTTCCTCATAGACTTTTGGTGGTTCTAGTGACATTTCAACCTCGTCATCTTCAGCGGCATCGGGTGCATCCCGTAAGAAATCAACAAAAAACGTTTCTTCCTCTGGATAATTCTCCGCTATTTCTTCGGGTAGATTTTTCAACGCGTCTCGCCTCATACAACTCTCAAACCACTCTTTGTCCTTGAACTCAGTAAAACGATCAGCAATAACACGCGTGCATTCGTGACACCATAACTTCAGCACCGTCTGCATACTTTCACATTCCTCCGCCTTAATTTTCAACATACCCTCCCAGATACGTGAGAGATCACGCAAGTTGAATACATAATGGAAATTCGCCGGTGTCGGTAACATCTTGGCTTTGACATTTTGCCAGAATAAGCGTGTAAGCGGCACCAAATGTGGTATAATGTCAACGACTTCTTCATTGAAACGCGCCAAACAGAAATAGCCTTGTCCGATTTTGTTGAATATCTGATCCATCGAATTGTTGCTGGGCAAGGTGCAATTGAAGATGGATAAGTGACGCTTCAAACGATTTGGTATGTCGTTACGACCACCACCCGGATGTATCATGGCTGCCAGTAGCTGTATATCCATTATAGTCGAGAAATCACCTGAAATTCTTAGAATTAGACGAGTTCTGTTGAATTGCATATGATCTTTGAATTGCTAACCAGGTTTCTCCAGCGAATAGAAACCACCTTGTTCGATCATTTGGCGTACAATTTCATTGGTTATTTGATCGCCCCATTCATTGATGACCGGCATGTTTATATCGTCGATGAAAACGGTCATGGAACGTTGGCCCGGCGGTCCGTAGCTTGTGCCAACTCGCTTCTCCACATAGGACTCAATAATGCGCTACAAATGCAAGGCATATATGAAAATTTAGCACCTACGGATTATACTACTAAGACTGGAAAGTCTTTCGAATCAAGGTAAGCCACACTTGAAGAGTATGAACAATCTGGAAGGCTCCGTGGCGGAAACCTGATAGATATTGACTGTTTGTTTATATGTATAATGGTCAAATAAGTTAATATCGTTATCGGTTTCAACATAACAAATACCCACAAGTTTTATAGTTTATAAAAGTGAATAAGAGAGTTCAATACATTACCTGATACATATTAGGTGTGGTTGCCGACGAAAAGTTAAATGATTTTGATAAATGTTGCTCTGGATCATAGTGTGCCATATAACCTTTAATCATCACCGTCTTGGCAGTACCTTGCTCACCGATCAGCAACACTTGCTTGCGCTGCTTGGCAATGTTATGCATCAGATAAGCGGTACGTACATTATCCACATTGGGTACTAAAATCGAGGCAAATTCCGGTACGGTATCCTCAGGATACACAAAATCCTCGACACGTGTATTCCAATGTTGCCACATGCCTTGATCATCAACATAAAATTCAAATATTGTCTCGTTCGGCTGACGCTTGGGCCACTCTGCGAAATGGCAAGATAGACAAGACATATTTTATTTGACAAAATGACGTGTGAACTGCAGTAAGACTTACTAAGCTTTGAGGGATGCTTAACCAGAAACTCTTCAAATTTGTCACGTTCTTTGATTTCCAGCACAGCGCCCAATGTCCACATTAAAGCGAATAGAAACATGCGTTCCAAAAATCGCTCGGTCCTATTACTACACTCCTCCAACATTCCGTCCATTATTTCAAGCATTTGCTTAATATAAATAGCCTCCAGTATGCGCATTTTAGCCATCAATTTAGTTTGCAGGAACGTATGTGCATCATCGTAAATCGCGACGTAACAGCGTCGGTAAACCTCTGCTTCGGCGGAGGGTTGTCTACGGACCCAAGCTGTTTAGGGAAGAAACGATATCAATTCAGCGATAACGTCGAAAGGTAAGTCTGCTCTTAAAAAGCGGTTATGTGTGTCGCTTGCTTACCTTCCATATAAACGGTCCACTTCAATACCGATGAACTCATAAATGTCATACCGACACGACTGACAGTAGCCGGTGATGCATTATCCACATTATCTGGCTCGAATACCAATTTGGAATTATCCGCCATTTTTATACGATCACCATTGGCCAATGTCAATGTTTTATTATCGTCCAATACAGAGTTCAAGTTTTCAATCCAAACCGCATCCACGGGACCATCTAGGACAATCCAACAATTTTGATGTTTCGGAATTTTGAGTGAACGTCGCCAAAGTGTTGAGAAAATACCATCGGTCCAATCATTGGTGGCTACATCGAGACGTCCAAACATTTGTGGAGCAGTTATGGCCTGCGGCCGGAGGAGAGTAATTACTTAAATAGTTAAGTTCCGATCAAATCAGACCTACATATCTGCACTAAAATTTAGTTGTTGAAGTTGTTGCATATCCTACATTTCCCTAAAATATGTATACCCTCAAAGCTACTACATTTACCTTTGGATTCATGCGCATTTCCTTATGAGGCTGACCCATTTCGGTGAAGCACCTTAACATTGCATGGGTACAGCTCGTCTTACCCGATCCCGTTGGACCCATCAACATCAAACCATGACGCACCAGTGAAGTTTCATAAAGTTGCACCACTTTCAGATTCCATTCCGGATTATTGACATAACCCATTTCATCAGCGACCTTCACAATGGCCCGCTGCAGATCTTTATAAGATGCTTGTGTTAATTTTATTCCCGGAAACATATCGTCGATCAGTGAGATGAATAGACCTTCGTCTTCATCAATCAATTTGGAGACATTCATGTCACGCAATACACGCATCACGATAGTCTCTTCCGTATCATTAGGATTGGCGCGTTTTTGTGCACCAAGCGTACGCAATACTGACAAAATATTACGCAGCCCAAAATCATAATGAACTTGCTTGGATAGCTGCTCTTCGCAAAGCTTGTAGAGCGTATAAAATTTGCGTGATAAAATTAAATTTTCCTTGAAGCCACAACTAGCCAGTTTGACACGAATAATAATAGCACGATCCGGCACCATCATCGCCACTGAACGGAACATAATCTTCAAATTCTCCGGCAGTTCTTGACGTCCCGCATAACCGGGATTCATTGTGATGAATAAACCGAATTCGGGATTAAGTGTAACCACATCACCATCACTAAATAAGAACCAGGAACGCTTCTCTTTACGCGCTGTCAACACAATATAAATTTGCTGAGCCGCCACCGACAACACAGGCAATTCGATACGATTGAACTCATCGAAACAGCCCCAAGAGCCCGATTGCGCCAATCCTTTGTAAATGCGACCCAAACCACGAAAATCCATTTGATCTGAACAATTGAACACCACAACCAATTTGCCTAAAGCGCGACCCATGTCTTTGGTGGTCTCGGTCTTGCCAGTTCCAGCAGGGCCGGCGGGAGCGCCGCCCATTGACATGCCTAAATCAAAGGTAAGTTATTAACAGTGTTTCGATAATTCAATCACTTGAGTAAGAACCTACCAATAGCCTGCGCCAAAGTTATATAACAGCGATCCGTTAATGGGGTAATTGCCAATCTTTCAGTTACGCCTAAATATTCATTTTGATAGATGAAATTTACATCCGTTATGCCGACTGTGATTTCATCATTATCTTCGTGATAATAGAATCTCGCCTGTTTCTGCCACTCAAAATCGCCAGCCGATTTCACACGCATTGTGCATAAATCATCGAATATGTCCCTGGAAAGAGGATATATTATATAAAACGGAGGATTCAGATGAACCTCAAAAAATATGTAATGAAAACGTTCGGTATTGTTTCCACGTGTGCTGGTTCTACTTGCATGTAATTGACGCGGAAGAACAACATCTATTAGACGTTAAAAGTATACGAGAGAAAGGTTCAAGGAAATATTGGATCCTCGAACCGCCCAACTCCTTTGAGCGATGGAATTATTGAATAGAAACCTTACTATCCGAAAACCCTTAAATAATGTAAACCTCAATGAAATATATACCTCTGATGCACATGTATGGTGACCATCGTCTCAAACCGTACACGATCCAATTTCGTTAAATCCTTCACAGTCAAATCAATGAAATAGTTAAGCAAGTTGAGGAATTTCGCATTCGTACGCTTCATAATAATACGATCGGTGCGACATTTACGTAGCGCATATTCAGAGTCACGTGTCCAAAGTAACTGCACACCCAAGAGACCAGCTTGTCCGCAGAATGCGGGAAACTCTTCTACAAAAATGAATTCGGGATCGTTGAGGCTCTGTGCCATGCTAGCCAATATGGAGCGTATAGTGTCTTGCATTTCCTTCAAGAGTTTACCGAGCCACACCTCAACACTGCCACTACATGTGACTGGGGTTTCAAATGGTACCTTTTCGTTATTCATCGAGTTCATGGCGATCATAACGTCGTTTGTTTTCTCTTGGAAGTCAACCTGTGACACAAGTGGGATATTTAATTATTTACTCGAAAAAAATATTGAAGATGTTGAGCAACTTACCGTTGCTATAGCATCGAATATGCTAAGCAAGTGTGGCTGTATGGTGGTCGGGTCTGAAGCTTGTCCAAGTATTTCGAGTAATACCGGATCCGAAATGAAAAAGAAACGTGGAAATAGCAAACGTTTCGATTCTAAATAACCTATAGAAAGTATAAAATTAAGGTCATGCTGGAACTGTATAGCTTGGCGGTGTATGCTTTAGGTTTACCCGTCAATGACTTCTGGCACGTCTCCAGCTGATCCAGCAGCCATGTAAGACTCGTGGCCAAAGTGTCATCGCCAGTGCAACACTCCACGGCATTGGGTATTTCGCGTGCTCTATACATAATCTTGACATAATTTTTGTCAATATTTGTGAAGCGTTTTGCCTCCAAAGGTAATTGCTTCGATATATCACCACCAACAAAGACCGCTTCCAAGTAAATCCATAAATTCTGTGTCATCAGCCATTTCTCTAGAATCTCACCGGTGTTCACCAACTTCGATAACCACAGCTGTATGTCTTTTTTGAACGGTGCATTGTAACGGTTCGAAGCCAACGAATTCATCACCATTAAACTGTCCTCTAAAGAGGCAATAATATCCAGTGTTTCTTGACCTTTCAACACAAGTTCACCACGATTCTTGAAATGACCCAATTGCAAATTGACAACGGACCAATCGCTGATGACTTGTTTCAATTTCGCTTCAATATCCAATTCCTTACTGGCGCCCACACAAATGTCCTCCACGTCGTCCTTATACTTCAAGATGGGCGCCTCCAACAGTTTGCCGAGCGTGAATTTAGCGCTTGTCGGGTCAAAGTCAGTCTTGAGCAGTGCATTGAGTCGCACCCAATGACGTTCTTTCATTGCCTTGTTGGTCATCAATTCGAGCAGTGGGCATGTCTCATTAAAATCATCGATTTTGTTTTTCAAATCAATAAATGCGGGCCACGACTGCATGCCTTTGGGTAATTTGCGGCATCTGTATTCAAAGAGAGTTAGCATAAAAGCGAGTTTAAGGGTTGGTGTTGTCACAAAAATAACATTTCAATAATGAGAAGGAAGAATACATATAGTCCACAAATTGTTCTGTTCCGAATGCTTCATCCGATATTTCGAACTTTTAGAAAATAAGAAATAAAAATGCCTTCAACATTAACAAGGGTGACATACCTCACTTGGAAATCGGCCAACTCGGCGCTGATCCTTTCTATATCCACCTCAGACCAAGGCATTTCATAATAGTCGGCAATCGTCTTCAATACTTGGATGTACAGCGAATACAGTCGATTCAAATAGTTGAATTCACGTTTACGTTGATGCAGCAATGGATAATCCGTGATTGGTAAACCAAAAAGCTTTTCACCACTGTTATACATTTCATATTTACGCCACAATTCATCGAATTGACCTTGAAAGAGAAATACGCGATCGCTGGCCTCTTTCGCCGAAATACCCTCCACCATGGGACCGTTCGCTTCGAAATCGATATTGAATTGTTCGAATTCTTTGACAAACTGTGCAATACCCTCGTTCAGCTCACGCAGCAGTGGGCCCTCCATGTCCGAGATGCGTTGTGAGGTTTTCTTGGCCTACAGCAGGGAATTTTAAATCGGATATTATTTTCCATATCTAAACTATACTCACATTCTCCAACATTTTATTGAAAGCCAACTGTAAACTATCCACCTTATCGTAGTCATCTTTAGGTATAAATATATTATACTGCGCGAAGAGCGCATAAGTGTCAATAATCAAGCTCAGATTCATATCCATACTGGAATTTTATAAAAAAAAATATGAATATGTCTACGCAGAGGCTTGGTAGCTTACGTTATGAAATTATCGCGTATCTTCTCTAAGCAATTCATCGCCTGTCGCACGTCATCCAAATCGTTTATGGGCTTACTAAGTATAATCTCCATTTCGGTAATGAAATCGACCATTTCATCTAACTGTTTCTTGTATTGAGCACTCAGCAATTGACCCAACATGACTTTCCATTTCTTGGACTCTTCGACATACTTTGCAATGGCTTTCTCTGTTAGATAAACAAAATTAGTCAAGGTCTATATTTTAAGAAATTCTTGAAAGCATTATGTACCCATGCGTATCTCAATAGGACCAATCACTTTCTTCGCCGCCATCTCTTCCAAATCAGTTGTAATGTTGTCATAGTATATAAATTTATCGCGTATATCGACCGTTAAGGGATTGGTATCGACGAATCTTTGTATAATCTGTTCCCGGTCCTCACTCCATAAATATTTAAATTTATTAAAGGTTTCCTAAAACCGCGTACATATTAAAAGTTTCATGATATCAGTCGTTCACTGGACCTCATATATCACAGAAACTTACCAATAAGAACTCATCCACATCGTGTTTGTATAACAATAAGCCGTTAGCTAGATTCGTTATGGCACGTATAATGTCCTTATGATCCACAACATAACGGAAATAAGAACGCTCATAACGATTCTCATCTACCATGGTACACACATATAAATATTATAATTATATATTGATATACTAAATCCGGCGAACTTACCGACAGTGACACGTCTCATGCGTCGTTCCAGTGTCTTCGCTTGGCGACCCCAGGTCGAAATGAAATAATTAATTTCCGTACACACCTGTATGGCAGCATGGAAATGAGTTTGCATCAATTCTAAACTGGGATCAATCGCACAACCCAACTCCAAGTCAATATCCATATTTGTATAGAGTATCGGTTTCATGGGATCGGTGCGCCAGTTTGTTCTAAAGTAGTTTAGAAAGATTATGTGTGATTGGATATATAGAAAAGTAGAGATATAGCTAAGTTGGTCTTATTGTTGAAACCTGGTTACCAACCATCACCATACCCTCTGCCATCACATCGAAATAGTTTAGCGATCGGTATGGTTGGAAGAAAGCTCAAGGTTATTTAATCGGACATCAGTGTTTTTACTACAAAAGCACTTGTTTACCAAACTTTACCTCAATATCTTATGTCGCACAAAATCTAAAGATCGCTTGGAACATTGCACCAATGCTAGAATCATTTTTGAATTGTAATATGAAAATAGATCCATGCAATCGTTACGTAAATGATTCAGCTCATAGCGTATGCCTTCATAGTTTTTCATTTGCAGGCCTTTTAAAGCTTCGTCCGGTACCAAATAGATGGTGCGATATATCTTCTGAAACTGTATCCAATCCCACTTATCAATTGGATAATTGCCTTCGACGCGCCAATTATTGTCATTAAGTTTCTCTATCGGCAATTGATAGACACGTCGACCTTTCGAGTCTACTGGACCGAAATCTAATAGGTCTACAAACATATTAATTAGATCAATAACGGCGCGTTCAATACAAACTGAGCTACGCTCGATAACAGATTCTGAAAGGCGTAGAATGTGTTGAAAGCAAGCCTAGAGACTGTACTCGTGAGTAACATACCCAACTCAGCACGTAATTTATTACTCAAATCAAGATATTTCTCCGATGTGATAGGTTCTTCCGGTTGGTAAACATATAAGAAGTCTGTCAAGTTCTCCATCTCACGGAGTACACGTATTTTCTCTATATTCACCACAGTGCGGTAGAATGTCTCAACTTCATCGACTTTCTATAATGCAGGAAGTGGTATTTCAATGAAATCTATGTTAAAAGCTAACTAGCTTACATCATCGAGTTCTTGCACAAAATCTTCAAGATTTTCAGAAATCCAAGTGATTGAGGTCAAAGCTGGCTTCATCAACAAACCGATTTCTTGTAGGCGGAAGCGCATAATGTTAATGAAAATAGCCGAAATCGATTGTCGAAAATGATCGTAACGTCGTATGACTTCCTTTAATTGAACGGCTGGATCCAGAATACGATCTTTACAGTAGGTTACCACGCTGGCAATATTCGGCACCTCTGAAATGATACAACATTATAAATATATGTAAGCTTATAAAAATATTATGCTGACCCAATTTCAGCTTCCACATCCATTCTGTCTCTTTTATCAGCTGTCTGATCGCCGGATCCAAATTAACTGTATATTGTGCCATTTCTTTGTGACACAGTAAAATGGGTGAATTTAACAGGCAACGCACCTCCTCACAGTAGTCATACCAAGCCTTGTGATAAGTCATCTCATAATGACATATTATACCATTCATATAATTGTAATAGCGCACTGTACGCTGAGCCTTCTTATGCGCCAACACACACTGTCGGTACTTCAGCACCTTCATTGGTTCATCGATCTTTTTGAAAATGGAACGTATCCAAGTGATACGTCCGGCGACTGGTGGCATATTGCGCGCTATAAATGGATTACCACGTTCCTCATTGTAGCTAAACAAGTAGAGGGTATTAGTAAAACTAGCGGGTTAAAGGAACTACCTACTTACACATCCTTCAGCACAAACATTTCCTTTTCCAGCATCTCGGCAACTTCCAAGTAACGTCGATCCAAGCATAAACATTCCAAGCCCAGACGTTCGAAACGTTGTAGTATTAATATGACAGATTCGGCAATCGGTACGTCAGCGATTTGTTGTTTCACGAATTGTTGCATGCCTACCTCTGCTTGTTCGACCTCCTTAACGAATACTTCATAGTCTTTATTGAAGATCTCTATGCGATAGTCGAGCGGATCGTACGGTTTCGAAGCGATCGTGCTACGTGCGCCCTTTATCTGTGCATTGAATTTCTCCATGCCGCTGATTGTAATGACATCCAGCACAGAGTAGGTTATCTCGGTATTAAATATGTCTCTGATCTGTGAAAATCAATATTATATTTAGAAATAACTCCAAGCTATGTATTTGTGGACGCACCTTTTCCAAACGAGCTTGGAACTTTTCCAAACAAGTGAATATGTAGACCTTTGAGACAACCCAGGGATTTTCATTGGCGAATGCCATATCTTCAACAGTTTGCAAGTAAATCGATTTATAGTACTCCATAATCTCATTGCATTTGTTGATTTTTGCTATAACGCCTTGCGGTTCTAAGTTCCAGAGCAGTCGACGACCGCTGTCGGTCAGATATCTGCGACTCGTTAAGGTTATTTGATTGGAAATCTTCACAAAAAGACCGGTAACATTGCTGGGTGTGTTGAAATAATGTGCCGTCTTGGAGACGTTGCGTATGGCCACCATTAGTCCCGGTAAGCTGCTAATAATTTCGTCTGGCGCGGATCTATGTAAAGTAGCCACCAAGCTGTGAACCCGAAACTCATGCTAAAAAACACATTTGACTTTTACCTGTACAAAGGATCCCAAAACTTCTGTAATGATGATATGTAGCGCACATTGTCTTTGGCTTCGTTTAGCACTAAGGTCACCTGGTTGTCGATCTCAGCCCATTTCTGAGTTTAAAATTTCATAAAGAATGCATAAGTATGTATAACATTGAAGAATCGTAGACCCACCTTCAAGAGCTTCGACGAACGTGATAATATCAAACACTGCTTGTGGTTGTTGAACGCACGCGACGACACAAACTCCATAATGGAGGTGTAGCGCGCCAATTGCCGTCGCCAGTTAACCAACATTTGTAAGGGTCCCACATCTGGTGGATCGCGTAGTATTTGTTTGCCTTCTACCAAAATTCCTTGAATTTGTCGCAACCATTGCGCAAAATAACGCTCCACCAAGCGCACCCGCCCAACATCTTTGGCGCTGGCCTCAATTTGAAACTTCACCAATAGTAGACCTTTGAAGAGTTCATGTGACACTTCGAAATTGACGCGTGTCGAGACAATTGCCTCCGATGATTGCAAGAAGGTATTATACATATTGAGTATGTGAAAGAATTTGCGCTTTTGCTCAGGTTCGGCAACACCAAAATCCGTTACCACCTCGAGGGAGGCAGTCAAAACTCGTTTCATAAACTCTTTAATCACATACAGACAATTACCGTCTTCGGTTACCCAACGAAACATTGCTACATCATCCGAAACAGTGCGATTCTCTATAGTTTTATTGTTGTTATTGCGATAAACGATTACCCAAGCACCCTTCATCTTGACAAAATCGCTTTTTAGACAAACGGCACGTTTGATATCAGCGTACTTGAGTTTTTCTTGGTAACGTCCCGATTCGGGTGGGTAACCCTTTTGTGTGGCATAAGTGATCATGCATGCACGTGGCCCTTTATCTTCGAAAATACCACCCAATAGCTCGACAAAGGCCTGATCATCTACCAAACCCATTATAAGTTCATCCATATCTGTATTCAATAAGTCGGCTGCGATCTCCATTACATAACGCTGGTTGGCACCTAAAGAGGAGATGCGCTGTTGACGGTACTCCTTAAGTAATTGCGTTCGCTTTCTTTCGTGCTCCTCCCGTTCATGGTCTGTAACACTGAGGCGTCGTGCTGTGTGCTTTTGTATAGTTCGCGATACGCCAAAAAGTTTCCCCAGACGTATGGCATTTTTATCGCCGGAATCCATGTTACGTATTCGTTTGTTACGTGGTTATTTGCAATTCTTTGCTATTAATTAGAAAAATTCAGAAATTCAATAAGAAATATCAAAAGAAAAAAATGCGTCCGTTCCGTATGAAAAATCTTTTTCAAATGATTTTTTCCATTTGACGTGAAAATTACTCGACTCAATGCTGAGTCTAGAAGAAATTATAGCAAAATTTGTGATGCGAAGTCAACGTGTTTTTTTCTGTACCGAATGGGTGGGTGGGTTTCGATAGCTATATTTGAAATGAGTTGTTAAAGTAACCGATGCAGCTGCTTTTGAAATCTTTTAGTTCCAAGAAATACATGCTTGGATTCAGAGGCCAACTCATTTCCTGGAAGCCAAATCATATAAACGGTGTTTGGGCTACGTTTTCTATTAATAATATGAAAACCTTAGCATTATCATAGCCTAGGTGTCGGAAGGCTGGTATGCAATTGTCACCGAATGTTTTAAGCGGTCCTGCGACTATCTATCTAAGGTTTTAACATCCCTAGTGCTGAGGTAGTGCTAGCTTTTGGTAAGCCGTCTTACGCACCACCACAAACTGCCAACATAATCTTGATTTTTGACCTGCTTCGACGATGTTTTCCGTCTTCGACTCGCCTTGGTCCGATATTCGGCCGACTGATTATCTGTTTCCAGGTTCAAGACTCATCATCGCCAAATAATAAGTTTCATGACAGCCTGCTAGTCGGAGAGCATTGTTTTCAGGACATTAATGCGGCGCTTTTTTTCGAAAAAATTATCTTTCAAATGAGTTTCACTGATCCTTCCTATATGTCAACGATGTCAGTAAGATCTCTGACTGTTAATCGTCGACTCTCAAGCACCAATTCCTTTATCCTATTGTCCTGGCATACAACTGACTGATCAACCTTGACTAATACATTCACGAAATCAACACCATAAATGTTGTTGTTGTTGTTATAACGTGTATCTAGATTCTGCTTGTGAAAAAATAGCATGTTAGCTGTCATCCAAGCAACTCAACGGGTTCGGATCTAAGGGGGACGAGGGGTAAATGAGTTGGTTTGGTTTGGCTGCATACAGTTGGGTATGACAGTGTCTATTCTGGATAAGTAGAAGTTTAACACGCTACAATAACCAGAACAAAGCGACGCCATTGTCATTCTTGTTTCACGCGGCAACGGTTCTTGTTCTGCAATTGGTGTGGTGCCTGGACTCCAGGTACGCTATTCACTGCGAGGCAGTCAGTGAGTGTTTTAATAGCTCCACAAAGAATGTCGTTCAATGCCTGTCGAAAACTAGTCGAGTCCGAAATTTGGTCGGAAAATTGTTGGATGTCGTCGACGTGTTGGAGGAATGTTTTCCTAGTATTCCTAGGAGGTGGTTCCTCTTCAAGCAAGTGACCTCACGGGTGGTTTCTACGAAAACATTCGAGCAGTTGGGGCGGTGGGGGTAGGATCAGCCTGAGAAATATGCTGCCTGATTGAGCTCAGTGAAACCGTAGAGGTTACTTGTTGGTCACTCGTCTCTCTTATTAAGCGAACTAGGTGCATTGAGGCTATTGTTGCTGTAGTGCGTTGGCAGCATGGGACCACTTATTAGAAGTGTGAAGGTCTAAACATGTTTTAAGATAGCTCCAACCATTTCATGAGTTACATCTAATAGAAATGGAATTATGTTAGTGCCTTTTAGAGCAAGCGCAGCTGAAAAACTCCTTCGGGGCCCGGTTGGACTCTATGCTAGCACGGATCAGGAGGATACCTGCTGCTAGGTGTTGTTCTGTTGATGGTAGTGTTAAAACTTACCGATCCTGACAGGGTTAGATCGTCGAATGACAGCTCTTACCTGTATAAAATCGCTTCGGTGCAACCTAAGTTAACGATTTTTAATGTTTTACTTAATTGCGTACGCGGTTGTTGATTCAAACCTATTATAACATTTCAGCTTGTTGTTGTTGTTATAGCGGCAGAAATCTACCGAGCTGTCCCTTCAGCTTGCACTCGTTTTTACCTTAATTGTGGTTTGTGGGTTTTGGTGTTTGTGTCAATGAAAAATCGAAACTACAAATTCATAAATTTTTATTTTTCAAAACGGCATTTTTATTCAAATATTTACTGTTCTATTTGATAAAATCTACACAAATTCAATAAACAAAAAAAATATGTATATATAATATTATGTAGTAGTAATAATAGCAAAGATTTAAAGATAAACGTTACAGACATGTATTCTTCAACAATTAATAGATTATGTATGTATGTGTGTATGTATGTATATTTGCTGTTATTAGTTTTTATCATTACTACCGCTAAAGAACCTGTTTTTTGTTGTTTTTGGGTATAATATTTTTTTGTTTTTGTTTTAATTTCATTTAATATATTTATATTTAATTTAATTTTACTGTACATACAAACGTTAGCTTAATTATGTAACTTTGTTTTTTGCGCTTTTAAATAATAGCTGCTAACCGGTTAGTGTGAAAGAAGAAGAAGAATAACGCATTGAAAGCAAAATAAATATTTTCATATTAATTAAAAGAAATTGTAAAATTTAGAAATTTTCATTGTAATTGAAAGAAATTGGAAGTTTTAATTACCATTTTAATTGAAAAGAATTGAAAAATTTTCATTTTCATTTTAATTTAAAGAAATTGAAAGTTTTAGAAATTCAAGCATATCTCGGATTGCTCCAGTAATTTTCGAGTAATGATTTTGAGCATGTTGTTATACACAAATTAATTTCGCACATTTACAAATATTAGTTGTGTAGGTAAGTAATGGCATTCGTAAATAACATATATGTTTTTTTAATTCTTTAAAAACTTGTCCATACAAAAGTATGAATGTGAAGGTGAATAAGAACATAACAAACTAGTATTAATACTAAGGTGCGTTTGTAGCTGCTTTCGGATACCATACAATACGTATATATATGCCTAACGGTTTGTTTGAAAAAAATTACTAACAACCAAAATTTATAATTTCAACTTGTTAAACTTTTCTTTTTTTTTTTATTTTTATCTTTCTTTTTCATTTATTTACTGCACTTTGCGTTGCTAAGCTAAGCGTAAGTAAAAGAACTGAAAAAAACTTTTTAAATAATATCCTTTATTAAAAAAAAAAATCATGCAACAGTTGCTCAAACATTCCGCCAGCTCTGTACCCCTGTGCATTTTTCCTTACTTTTACTTTGCTTGTGTTATTCCACATTAGTTACGTATACTTTAAAACTATAATCGTCCGTTTAATTGCTTGCGTTGCGTTTTAAAGTAATTTATGCATTAGAAAAAAAATTATAAAACAAATTATCAACTACTAACCTATAATCTCGCTGTGTGCTTGGCATAACGAACAATTGTTTGTATGCGTGCATGCGTGTGTGTATACATGTGTGTATGTGTTAGGGTAAGTATAACGTGTTATTTCTTTTATTAGTACATAGTATTAACAAATGATTTATGTATATTTGTTTTAATTACATAAAAATGTATTTATTTTATACAAGCTGCAAAAGGTTTGCAGTCCAAACAAACAAACTGCCTAACATTAAATATTAATATTTATGTACAAGTATGCACAACAGCACTTAACGCGACCCTCAATTTGAGATACTTGCCGTGGCTGCAGTTTGTGACTTTCTTTCGCCGATTTATATGTTCCTTTCTTTGCTTGTGTTTGAAATACAACTAAGTAAGTTACTAACTACTATTTACAACTTAGCAGAAAATTTTGTAAATTTTTACTTCTATTTTTTAATTATTCCACTGGTACTTAGCGCTAGCCCTATATATGATGAATTCAATTGCATTACCTCTCCGTCGTGGGTGCTCATAAAAAACATGTGATTACTTAAGATACGTTAAATTCTTACAAAAAAAAATTAATAAGTGAAAATGTTGAATAACTGTAAATTACGTTTAAACTATAATCCAACCTACTTGAGTCAGCAGTAGTATGCTAGAAAATAACCTGCTAATGAACATCTACTACTTACAGCCTTCACTAACTTTTTCTAAATGTTTTGTTCTTTAATAAACAAAAAATTGCTTCACTAACTTTTACTAAATGTTTTGTTCTTTAATAAACAAAAAATTATATTTTAATTAACGGCTAATCAGCACTTGTCTCAACTAATCATTTCACTTTTCTTTTACGTTGCGTTTCAGCTAACTTTAGCTGTTCCACTAAAAATGTTTTCAAAACCAACTGCCTAATTTGCCACTGCTATAAACAATTAATTTCACCAAAATTTTTTACACCATTGCAAATTAGTATACACTCTACTCCCTGTACCGGACCCACTAACAATTGCTATTGTTCAGTATAACAGCTGGATAAATTGTTGGAAAAAAAAACTGGTTTACCAACGCAGCCTCCAGCAAATTTGACAATTTGCATGCAGTGCCATGAAGCTTCAACCATATTTATTGCTGGTGCGTTCAGTCATTGCGATTTACGGTGGTGACTGTTGTTGGCTTTAGCGTTGCCACATTTATCGTCGTTGCTGTGTTGCCGCTAACCATTTTGTTTGGGTTGTACTCCAACACGACTGTGTCCTCGCTTGATACGTCGTGTGACGCCGCTGTCGACGACGACGCAGCAGCCAGCGTTGCTGTGGCCGTTAGTGTTGCACTGTCATTGTCGTCCAGCACTATGATTTCACTCTCCGCTATTTGAAGATTTTGTGTGGATTTGGCTGGTGTGACGTTTAAATTGTTTACATCAGCTTTCTCATTGTTTACATGCGTGTTGTTGTCCTCTTCTATATATTCAATTGCGGTATTTTCATCAATATCGGCAACTACAAAAATATGTCATGCAATTAATTTTGGGTCTCTTTTGTATTACTTTTTAGTCTACTATACAAAAATATAATATAATTAATACTTGTTAACCACGCACGCACCGATAGTCTCATCAAATCCAGCATCAGTTTCGCATTCAATTGCGGCGGATATGCTATTAGCTCTTGCGTTGCTCATATTGACTGCATTCGCTGTTCTCTCCAATTTCGCAGTTTCACTTTCTGACTTTTGGGCAGATTTTTTCTGCCTAACCGCCACAGTCGTATTCTCCTCATCGTCGTCAATCACTTCGATTGGCTCATCTTCATCGTTGGCGTTAGCGCTGGCGTTATTGTACGTTTTCTGCAATCGTCCCACCTTCAGTTTCGGCGCATCACGTGTTTTGGCTGGTGATATCTCACCACCACTTTCGATGCCACTATAAATTGTGTATGCACGTTCTGTCATCTCTTGGCCCTCTTCGCCGCCCGTATCGCCCATCATTTCATTGTCGTCCATTTCACCGTCAACAGTGCCCTCAGTCTCAGTGCCGGCGTCTGTGTCGCCCTCTTCTTGCTCCTCCACAATAACATCTTCAAAACTGTCATCGATAATTATGGTCTCACCATCAATCGTTTCTTTGTCTTGCATCGGTTGCTGCTGTTGTTTGCCACCAGCCTGCCCGCTTGACTGTCGCCGATATTCAGTGCGTGCTGCGGCTTTAGTTGCTGCTGCGACGGCTGTTGCTTGATCCAATTCCATTTCCCAATCGGTGGCACCCAAAATTATTGTGGACGGTTGCTGTTGTTGTTGTTGGCTTTGCTGCTCACGCTGTTGCTGCTCGTGTTGTGTATTTTCCACGAGCGCTGTTGGCAATACTGTGACTGTATCGCCAATATTATTACCCATCGTGATATTCGTGCCGTCACCACTATCCACTATTATCGGCATATTGAGTATATCAACTGGCGTATCTTCCGTAATCATTTGATTTGCTTCCAACTGCACTGCACTCGCTGCTCTAGAGGTCACGTTGTACTTGTTGCTGCTGCCATCGATGAAAGTGGTCGTCTTAATTGGTGTATTTGTGCTGCTTTGTGCTGACGACGACCCGATTATTACGACATTGGGTTTGACGGCTTCCGTGTTTTGAGTATTCGGAACTTTAGCAGATGCAACAATACCACTACTAACATTAGCAGGCTTCGACAGTGTTATTGTCCCCGAGGTGGTGCGTGCACCAACCGACGGCACGAAAACCATATTCATATTCCCCTTATTGCCGCCCAATGTTAGTGTGTTTGTTGTAATTGTGGGCTTCGTCTGCGACTGGGTTTGTGAAGTGGCCGTGTGAAAGGTGCCCGTCAGATTGCCTGGCGAATTTAATGGTGCTGGGATTATTTGCACTTTCTGTATGGCGATGCGTTGCGGCTGGTGTGTGCCGGTTGTACCAGCACCCGTGGCATTACTACTGACCACCGCGGTGGGCAAGATTTTGTGTGACAATGCACCTTGTAGTTTTGCTTTCGATGCGTTGTCTATGTTGGCTGGTTGTATGAACACTTTGCCATTTGGTGATTGGCATATTTTTACGCTGGTACGTATACCAGTTGTTGAGATGTTCTTTAGCTGATGCTGTAAGAATGGTGAAGCTGAAGTTGATGGTTGTTGTGACTGTTGATTCGAATGACTGACCGACGTTACACTTGTAGTGGAATTCGCTGGTGTCAATTTAATATTGCTGATAATTTGTGGGCCTGAATTGGAAGTACTAAAGGTGCCGGAAAGCTAAAAAAAAATAATGCAATAAAAATACACATGTACATATGTACATACATATGTCAAAAAGGTTTTTTTAAACAATAAAAATACAAAAATAAATAAAGTTAATATTTACAAAAAAATTTAAAAAAGGAAAAAAAACAAAAATATGTTTAAAAAAAAAGAAATTTATAAATTTTAGTGGGGAAA